ACACTATCGCTCGTTTGGAACGTGTCCTGAGCTGTCTTGATAATTGGTTCAGATTCAACGGCTTGAAGGTGAACGCTGAGAAAACACAGCTGATGCTGTTTGGAAGCAAACAAAATTTGCGCGCCGTTCCCCAATTCAGTGTAAAATCTCGCGACCATCTCTTAGTCCCTTGCTCAGAAGTAAAAAATCTCGGACTTGTCTTCGACCGCACCTTAAGTTGGAATTCGCATATCGCGCTCGTCAGTAAACGCTGTTTCGGAATCCTAACTGGTCTGTCACATCTGAGGCACAGCCTGCCAGCCGGTGTTCTAGCCACTCTAGTAAACGCTCTGGTCCTGTCTCAGATCCGCTACTGCCTGGCAGTGTACGGTAACTGCTCGCAGCTCAATACGTCTAGGATTCAAAAAATATTCAACTTCGCCGCTAAAGTCATTTGCGGCCGCAAAAAATACGACCATGTATCAGACTTACACCAACGGCTTGGCTGGCTGTCAGCTGCGGATCTAGGCAGGTTCCACACAATCACTCTCACACACAAAGTTCTCCGTTCTGGCGAACCAGACTCGCTCGCCTGTGTGCTCCGGACTGTGGGTGATGTGCACGAGCGACCCACAAGACAGGACAGTGACCTCTTTGTCGCTCGATCCCGAACTGAAATGGGGAGGCGCCGCTTTTCGATCCGTGCACCTGCCCTCTATAACACGCTACCACTAAACCTTCGCCACCTCCCAGGTGCCCCCTTCTCAAGGCAGTTGAAATGTTACCTTAGGAGAAACGCTGGGGCGAGCCGAGCTCCTTTGCGGAGATAAGTCCGGAGGCTGATGAGTGAGTGCATTTAGAGTGAGTGAGACGTGTGTGTGAGGCTTGTCCTCCTGTTTTTATTCCCTTTTTAATCTGTTGACGATGGGTAGGAATAGCCTGAAGCTTATTCGGGATTTGAAGCCAAATACACGTGAATATGAATATGAATATGAATATGAGGCGATGAAGCTCGGGAGCGCGACTTCCTCCGTTCTCCTCAGTCCTAGCCCTCCGAGTCCGGTAGGTAGGACGGCCTGTTCCCAGTTCATGTCGCTGAATCTGACATTCACTAGCTCTTCCATCGCCGCTCTGATGACCTCATCTAGCTGTTTCAGCAGCGCAGGATGCTGGAAAAATGGCGCAGCCCGCAACAAGTACTGCAGCTTGGGGAGCCATAGACTGTTGCGGAGCAGGTAGAGCGCAGAATGAGCATCGAGTCTCTTCAGCCGCCCGACCATCCGCACGAGGTCCTCCATTTTGTCCTGTGCTGAGAGCTATGCAGCGGCTGCCGTCAGTGGCGCTCCCAGGACAGTCTGTTCATCCTCTGACAGGACAGATGCACCTGGAATGATGTGGTGGAGTTGGCTGATGATGGCTTCTCCTTTGTTTTCGATGGTTGGCACGATGATCTGGCACTTGGAAGGGTTTACTTGCAGTCCGACTCTGGCCATCGCTGGGATGAGTTTCTTCAGGTCAGAATATACGTCGGCGCTGTTCCCTCCCAGGGTGCCATCGTCTAAAAACCAGGTATTCATAGAGCATGTAGCGGAGCTAACGATGCTATGAGTTGCCAGGGCGAAGACTGCAGGACCGGATGGATCGCCTTGCTGCACGCCGGCGGCCGACATAATCTTCGCAGTGCCATGGTAGAGAGGCGTAGGTGACGAATAAGCTTGCCACAGGAGCGGGTACAAGGAGGGTGCGCTGTCTCTCACCACGGCCAAGAAGTGGTCGCGGCGAATGCTGTTAAAAGCATTTCGCATGTCGATCTTCACTACGACTTCCTCTTCATTGAGGAGCTTGACGTAATGTCAGGTGGCGTGTGCGACAGCTTCGCATCCTCCGGTTGTTCCAAAGCCCAGCTGGACGGGCCGCAGCTTCTCTCCGAGTTCTGAACATAGAGGCCGAATCGCTACCTCGGTGGCGAGTCTGCGGTACGAAGAGCCGACGGCTATAGGTCTGATACCACCGCATGGTTTCTCAAGGGCCAGCAGAGAAGCGGTAAAAAAGACCTCTCGGGCTGTGGGGGGAATGTCTCCGCTCAGGGCCAGATTCACCAAGCGGGTCAGAGCAGTGATGAGCCTTCTGCCGGCCTCCCCGCATGTGTAGCCCGCCAGATCCTGGAGATGAGACGGACTGAGTCCGTCCAGTCCCGCGCTGGAGCTCTTGCTGAATGACTTTACTGCTGCTTGGACATCAGCACAGGAAGCTAGCAGCGGCTGAGTCGTGTCGTCCGGAGGTGATGGCAGGCAGATGTCTTCAGGGGCTGGTGGATGTTTCGCTCGCAGGGCGTCGGTGGTCTTACTCGTGTTTTGGGCAACCGCATTAGCGGAGGAGTGAAGCCGGATAGCTCCTTTCACGTCTCCGTCTGACAGCTTTGACTCCACAGCGTTCTTCCATTTTTCGCTCGACCTGTCCTTCTTTGTTCGGTCTTTGGCGACAGTTTTCGGCGCATTCAGAGACGTCTCGTCGTAGTGATGGGAATCCGTTTCGGATGGGTCAGTCCGTTCGTCGATATAAGCGATTACCTGTCGTTTATTTTCGCGGTGAGACTGGACTTGTTATTAGCCCCTTCTCTCGCACTTAATGCTTCATACGGAAATCGCATAAGTTTGCTCCACGGCCCCACCTCGCTGCTTATGACGGCCTTCTCTATCAGAGTCGCCAGCGCGTCCGCTGCGGGGATCCGGGCTCCCTTGGGAATTCTCCGCACTACTGGACGGGAGCGCCTGAGGCCGGTCAGGGTGAGCCCAAGGCTCGGGGTTACATGAGCAGAGCTAATACGCATTACAAACGGACTACAATGGTGAGCGAATAGGAAAATCCGTTCCTGATACGCATTTACTTGCTCATGTAACCCCGGTAAAGGTCTACGTCAGGCTCCGGCTGTTGCGGCGCTGTCAGAGTGGACGGCTGACTGGGGTCTGGCTCCGGGCTGGATGGAGTCTCGAAGCCGTCCTTGACGCAGTCCGGGCACCACCAGCGGTGGAGCGCGTTCGCCTGCGCCCTGTTGAGACGGACACATGACATGTGCCAGTGACGACTGCAGATGGCACATTGCATGTACCGCTTCCTGGTGCCGGTTTTTCCACAGAGTGGGCATGTAGGTCGGTTACTGGAATTTTGCGATATTGTAGTTTCTTGGCCAGATTTACTGGCCCCAGGTACAGGAACTGGCTTGCGGCATGAGTTATGGGTAGGACTTACTGATGTGTCTATTATTCTGTTGGAGGGTTTCTTGCCGTTTGCAGTGACCCAGTTTCCGCTGCTGGGGTCAAAGCCCTCAATGGATGAGTCGGAATCGCTATCCATTTATGCATAGTAGCTTTTAGCCGTTTCATAAGTGGTAGGATCAGCTACTCCTCTGGTGCTTAATGAGTGAAGGGAGTGCTAAACTGTATGAACGCGATCAACACTGAAAAATCGAGCACTTTGGGCCAGGCTCGTCTACTCAAATTTTATGGACTTTACTGAAACTATTAGATTTTTCACAGCCTTGTACCTTAATTACTTTACATATTCAGACGTTCAAAGTATCACCAAATTATTCTACGTGGAATTACGAGCCTTTCAATATCATTATTTATGCACAAAACTGACTACACGAAACGGGCAAAGATAACCGGACGATCCAAAAACACGTCCGACAGTTTTTCTTATCCTGCTGATAAATTTTCGGCCCCATTCTGCATTTATCAGATTTCGTGTCCAATCCAGGCTCATGTTATCTATGTAACTATATTAAAGATTATTCCTGTATTAGGTACCCATCATTTAGCATAACATGCCCAATATTTAGAACCTAAAATATTGCATTAAAATAAGCTGCGCCACTGCATGTATTAACAGCGCAATATCTGTCGACAAAATCTGGTGCCAACTCAAGGTCAAGTGGTTACGTGACCATTGTCCGGCAGCTGCGACAAACCACCGCTCGGCCGCGAACCGCTCAGCAATCATCCGGCCCTGTAGACCGGTTAGGTTGTTGGCTGTTCACATTTTGGGCTCTGGCTGCCGTCTTACAAGTCAGATCAGGCTGATTTTTGGTTTACACACTCGAGAACAGATGCTTTAGATACCCTGAGGGTACCAGACTTGTACTTTGGTTTTCAGGTCAGGGTCAGGTCATTACAGGTCACGGAAATCTTATATCATAAGTCGGTCACGTGACACATGTTTTATGGTCCATTTAGGCCATAGATTTCGAAATCGGTATCGCCTTTGTCATTGGAGGCCATTTTCATCTGAATATAGCTGAGGTCAGGTCAAAAAAGGTCACATTTTAAAGTTGAAATTTTTATACAAACAAACATGTCCATCGGATGCAATTTGAGCTCAGGAACACGATGGTGCTATTTAGGTATATTGGTGTACGATATCAAATTTGTACTGAAAAACTGATTTGGAAAATTTAGAATTGTGAAATTTTTGCTATAATGCGTATAGCCTGGCCATTTTTTAAGATATCTGGCTAAAACTTGCTAGAGTAAGTCATAAGAATATGTTCTGTCATATATCCGTTTTTTGAAAAGTCAAAAACTTTTTGAAAAAAATGATAAAAAGACAAATTTTGAATTTTAATATAAATACTTTTCAGTTTTTTTTTCTCGAAATTTTGAAAATCGTAGATAGCAGTTTGATAGCGCAGTCTATTCAAAGTCCTGTCATGCAAAGACATTGGATCTAGATCAGAAACTAAGCTCTTGGGAGCGATTCCCGTGGTTCAATGTTTGGCGTCGGAATCGGCCGAACATGACGACACTTGGACGTCATTACCGGCCGACCTTTGATAGATACGAAGTTCAAATTTTGACGCAAGGTGTCCAATTGATGCAGCTGAAGGTACTGAAAGTTGGGCGGCGATACGTCAAGCAGTTTAGAAGTTATTGCAGAAAAACGGGAGGGGGGGGGGGGCTATGAATAGTCTCCCCAGTGGGACGCGGGTTAATAATATGTTGTATGTTTTGTTTGTTTTGCAGCGCTTTTACTCGCGGTGCTGACGCTGATTGGTATAACTCTACTTATCAAGAGCATTAACAAGATGAGAGAACACTACGTGTTGGAGCGTGTGCTGCGGCTGGTGGGAGCGTCCTCGCTGCTGCGCAGGGTAAGAGATGTCACACTGCCGCCCCGAGCTGACCGCACACACTGAAAACTAGACACGGCACATACAGGGGTCGCACACGTACGTACACATGGAAACGCAGGCTCGTCTATTAAAACAAACGCGGCCACCCTCAGACTAATTTTGATAAAAGTAGCCCTGGCGTACCCGGCCGAAGGTACCGCTGACCGCCGCCGCTGACCGCTGACCGCCGCCGCTGACCGCTGACCGCTGACCGCCGCAGGACCTGGGTGACCCAGAGGAGTCGACCACCATGGTGAGCGAGGAGCAGGCGCCTGGACCGGCCGGCGCCGAGCGGCGGCGCGCCCGGCTGCACGCGCTCGATGTGTTCAGAGGGTGAGTGGCGGCCGTGACGCGCTTATATGCCGATTAGTGGTGTCAATCGGTTACCAAAATTTCGGTATAACGATACCGAACCAGTACCGGTTCGGTGTTCGGTATTATATACCGAAAGCATTTGGTATTTTGTCGGTGTTATGAAAATCAACTGCTGCCATAATAGATTTGAAAATATTTTTTGATAAACTTTTGACCTCAAACTTGATTTGCTAAATGACATTCGATGAAGAAAAAATGGCAATCATGACATATTTCTCCCCAATGCATGATGATGTCATAACAAATGGGGCACACATCAGTCTGTAACTGTGATATCAAACACATCAGTCTGCCAAGGTTAAATGGCAACTCATCAGTGTTAGCAAATTCCAAAACCATGATGATAATTATCTTGCAAAGAAAGCTACTTTGCAAGACATAAGCATGTAAAATGTAAATCAATGTTTAACTCATTTTATACTGGAGAACATACTTTAACTACCTTACTTAAAACTTCCAAAGCATTTATCAGTAACAAATTTGACTTTGTCTTGAGGAGTCTGATTGATCTTGACCTTGTCTTGCTCTCCATTTCACTGTTATGCAGTTACATTAATTATCCAAAACCCCGTTTTGTATAGCACCATTGTCATCTAATTTCATCTAATATACCTATCACCATTATCATCTAATATTGAGGGCATCATTTATTATATACTAACTAGAGGTACAGGTTTACGCGATAACTGTATGTTTTGATTTATGTTATGTTACGGGTGCATTAGTTTGGGTGATTGACTTGTATTTTATCTGTATTATTTGGGTAGATTTGGGTAGCTGTTTTTAATTAAACTGTAAGGCGGGCCCGGGCAGCGCTTGTCGAACAGCACTGCGGATCCGAAGGTTGGGACTTGAATTGTGAAAAGCCGCCCGCCCGCCGCGAAACGCAAACACCGCAAAACGCGCAAAACGCCAACGCAAACTTCGCAAAAAAGAAACAATCGCCCGCCCGTCGAAAACCGCATAAAAACGCAAAAAAGCCACAAAAAAACGCCCGTCCGCCGCAAAACGCAAACACCGCAAAAAACGCAAACACCGCCGCCGCAAAAAAGCCCGCATCGCCCGCCGCCAACCGCGAAACGCCGCAAAAAATGACCGCCCGCCGCAAACCGCAACACCGCAAATAACGGCCGGCCGCCGGCAACCGCAAAACGCCGCAAAAAAAACGGCCGCCCGCCGCAAACCGCAAAAAACGGCCGCCCGCCGCAAACCGCCGCAAAAAACGGCCGTCCGCCGCCAAACGCAGACACCGCAAAAACACCCGCAACGCCCGCCCGCCCGCCGCCAAACACAAACACCGCAAAAAACGCAAATACCGCCGCAAAAACGCCCGCAACGCACGCACGCCCGCCTACCCTACTCTACCCTACTCCTACTCTACCCTACTCCTACTCTACCCTACCCCTACTCTACCCTACTCCTACTCTACCCTACTCCTACACTACCCCTACTCCTACACTACCCCTACTCCTACACTACCCCTACTCCTACACTACTCCTACTCCTACACTACCCCTTCTCCACCCTACTCCTACACTACACTACACTACACTACACTACACTACACTACACTACACTACACTACACTACACTACACTACCCTAGTCCTACCCTACCCTACCCTACCCTACCCTACCCTACCCTACACTACACTACCACCGACAGTCCAAGTTTCAGCTAAATCGGCCCGGAAACGGCTGAGATATTGCAAAAACAAATTAATAGTATTTACTGGCGAATCCCCTTGGCGAGCGATGCCTTGTGTCGGCCTTCGTTGTCAAAGGTCAATGACCTGCCGGCTCTAATGCTTTTCACTCAGTTTTTTTTAAGCGAACAACTGAGCCTAAAGCACGTGCCCTCTGCTCGGCGCCGGTCGCGGCCCCACCACGTGCACACCGCTGAACCCGCACCCTCGAAAACTTGATACGACAAATGGGTGCACGCATCCGACTTTCCGTGAAAATTTCACCCCCGTAGCCCTTACCGTTCCCGAGCAATAGCGTGTTTTTGCCAATTCTAATGTTAACCCTATGGGCGCGCGAGCACGCGCCGCGGGCGCACCCCCGGCCGCATCATGCCCAAAATTTAATACGACCTACGTGTAAAGGTGGCCCACATCGCTGTAAAATTTCACGGCCGTAGGTCAACGGACGCCGCCGCAATAAGCGCTACAAAGTGACTACGTCGCACACGGCGGCGGGGTACTTTTAGGATTTTTAATATAGATTAAACCGCGAATAGGTAGAACAAATCTTTTAAACGTCTCGCCTTACCTACGAGCGGTTTACTGATTTTATCCCGTACCGCCGGTATCTTTCGGGTGCTTTAAGGTAGAAAATACATTTTATGTAAAAAATACGACATACGAGGGGCGTTCAAAAAGTCCCCGGCCCAACCATGAAGGAGTTGGAATTTCGGCCTGCAACGCGGTGTGTTCAATGATGTGTTATTGGGATGTCCACGTACGTAGCTATCAATCAATCTGCCCTGTGATTGGCTCAGGCTGCTATTAATCGTAACATAGTTTGCCATTCCCGGTCAAAATGGGCGATGCCCAGAAGAGAACAGTTATTGTCATTCTTCAATATATTAGGATTCTGTCTGTTTTACTTTGTTCAGAATTAAAGTTCAAATCGATTAATCATAAATTAACGAAAGAACGTTTCTGTGATTCAAGTCCATCTGTATTCTCTCTTTTTTAGCCCGACATGCTCTGCAAGACCATTTTAAACAGGGCGAGCTGTGTCACGTGACAGACACCCAAATAGCACATCTGCTGCGTGATTCGCAACATCCTCCCCCCGTGAGATGAATAACGAACATCTCACTACACCGCTGTCACCCCTGGGACGTAGATATCCTAAGGTTGGGTCAGGTTAGCTCCTTCCAGAAGATGAAGCCGCTGAATCGGCCGCACGAGCGTCCCGTCTGTAGTGCGCACAGTCGCCGACCGCACACGAGCATCCCGTCCAGGAAGCAGCTTTTCGATTATGCCTGTTTTCCACAACGCACGCGAGGAACGCGGGTTGTCTTCTATGAGCACCAAGTCATGCTCTCTTGGTCCTCGTCTTTGTGGTCCTGCCCGTAGTGGTAGGCGGAGTGCTCTTAAGTACTCAGTCTTCCACCGCTTCCAAAGATGCTGGAGGACCTGAAGGCGATATTTTCTCATCGATTTGAGATCACGATCAGAGACAGAAAATGCATCCGTATACTGATGGTCGCCAGTCCCAGGCTTAGAAGGATTGTCTCGTAAGAAGTCCTGTGGCGAGAGAGGGCGGATGTCATATGGGTCGTCGTTGAGGGCCGTCAGCGGTCTGGCGTTGATGGCCGCCTCGATTTGGCACAGGACTGTGCTGAGTTCCTCCCACGTGAGGAGACTTCTTCTTAGGGTTCTACGCAGAGCTTCTTTGGTCATACGTATCAGCCTCTCCCAGAAGCCGCCCCACCAGGGCGCTCGCTGCACATTGAACTTCCACCTGACGCCTCTTGAAGCCAGAATCCTTGACGCGCGCTTGAAGTTGAGGCCGTTATCGCTATAGACGATCTCAGGTTGCCCTCGTCTTGCTGAGAATCTTTCAAATGCCTTCATGAAGTCGTCTGCAGATTGAGACTCCACTAGTTCAAGGTGCACCGCTCGTACTACGGTGCAAGTGAACAAAACTAGCCACACCTTCAGAGGGTTTTTTTCCGGCAGGGTCCTTTCTGTATATTGGACCGGCCAAGTCCACTCCAACTGCCGAAAATGGCGGTCTTTGGCACACTCTCTCCTTTGGGAGTGGAGCCGCTTCTTCAACGAAAGGTTCTGTACAGAACATCTTGCACATTGAACAATCACGAATGATCTTCCGAACGACTTGTCGGCCGCGAGGGATCCAAAACCGTTCCCTGAGAGAATGGAGCGTATGTTGTACTCCACCGTGGCATGCTTGTTGGTGTCGATCGAGGATAAGGAGCCGCACGTATCGGTGCTCCGAAGGAACGATGATGGGGTGCTTCTCTGCCTGGCTCAGGTCAGATTCCTGCAGCCTCCCTCTGACCTTCATCAGATCTTGATCCATGAACGGATTCAGATTGTAAACGTTGGACTGCTTGCTGATTTCCTCTCCCGTTTGAAGACTGGCAAGCTCCGCAGCGTACGACTCCATTTGCAGTTCCTTCAGCCAGATGTTTTCAGCCCTGCGGAGCTCTTCCACAGTCAGGTCTCCGTGCTCTCTGGTCTGGCCGGGGCGGATGGCTTTCCATCTAAGCACCCATGCAGTGACTCGGTGCAGCTTGTCGAGTGTGCTAAATCTGCTGACATCAATGACATTTTTCAGCCGGCAGCTTCCGTCAGGATGAGTTTGATGAGTCACCAGAACCGGTGCAGTTTTGCTCTTCTTTTCCTCTTTCAGACACTCCGGAGGTTCACAGATCCGATCTTGCCGCGGCCATCCTTCTTCAGGCAGCTCCAGCCAAGCAGGACCCCTTTGCCATAGGTCTTCCTGCATCTTCTTAACAGACACACCTCGCGACGGCAAGTCTGCCGGGTTGCTCTGGCCAGGGCAATGCCGCCAACACTCTGGAGCGAACTTTTGTTGCAGTTCCACCACACGGTTCGACACGAAGGCACCCCATCGCTGCGGGTTGCTCCGTATCCAGGCGAGTGCCACGGCTGAGTCCGTCCACAAATGCACGGAGTCCGGCTGCATGCTGAGAGCTTGGAGCACATATTCGGTGAGTCGAGCGCCGATCACCGCTGCCATTAGCTCAAGACGCGCCAGACACATGGTCTTTGTCGGCGCCAGCCTGCTCTTCGAAATCAGCAGTCTACTCTTGCGGGGATACTTATCAGTTGGCCGCAGGTACACGGCGGCGGCATAGGCGTCTTGACTGGCGTCACAGAAGGTGTGGATTTCAAACGATTCAGTGTTGGCTGAACCGTAACTTCTTGGGATGCGGATCTTCTCGAGTTCTTTGAG